CGAGCGTGTACGGCTCGGTACCGAGCGTGTACCTGCTCGGTACCGAGCATGTACCGCTAAGTACCGAGCATGTACTGAGCGGTACCGAGCATGTACATTCTGATTAAGCGAGACATTAAGCAAATAATGGGAAGAAAGATCGTTACATAGCCATGAAAAAAGAATCTTCGATTACAAGAAGCTGGAGAAGAAGAAGCGAGACATGAAGAAAATGACGGAAAGATTACGGGAAGCAAGAGAAGAAGAAGAAATAAATCGTTACCTTCGATGGCCTCCAGCTATATTCGAACTCGACCGAACCGTGGTCGTCCAAGTTGGCGGAGTTCGCCTTTCAGTTCTCACCCGAAGCAGAAGCAGGTATGTTACCCTAATACTCGACTCTTATACGACTCTCACCGCTCGGTCTATATACTTACAAATCGAAGCGGTGCCTCGTTTCGCTTCGAGGCATTACGAATCGAAGCCTACGCCCCATGCGAAATAAGCGCACGCTCCGCCAAATCCAACGAGGCGTAAGCCTCAACGCGCAAATGCTTCGCCTCGCCTTAAGTCGCGTCTCAGTGCGTACGCCTCTTCTGCCTTTTTAATCGTTGTTATAAATAAGAGATTTTAAGACATATCTAAAACACTCTATTCTGATTCTGCTTGAATTCAATACATTTCTAATTTGGATGAAATTCCTTCTAGTTTTCTCCAGTGTAAATGGAGATCGAAGAATTTCGGGAAAAATTGCCTCTTGTACGGAATGAGGCTTGATTTTACAATATTTCTAGTCTTTGGTCTTTATATGTGATTAAGTTTTATCAAATTTGATACAATGTAAAATTTGACAACAGCATAATTTTCAATTGCATATATGGTTTTCATGCTTCTAAATTTCCATGCACTATTTCTGATAGAAGAATATTACATTATCATATGCATCAGATTTTTTTGTATTTTCATTTTTCCAATAAAATAATGCATAGTTGTCCAAATTAAGGGTTTGTAAACTTCGATTTTGCATATATGTACATGATTTTATTCATCTTATCATAAATTTGTATTAAAAAATACTAGACTCTAAGATGTCCCACATAACTAGCGCCAGACTCTAAGATGTCCTACATCACAAGTTCAAAATCTTACATAGAATTTTTCAGCATAACACTGCACCATGACAAACCTCAAAGATAACAAAATAGCAATTCAAGAGTTTGTGGTAGAGCAATTCCCACAATAGTACGAAATATGATGCGGACATCCGTACGAAGATTTGGCGCATCTATCACAGGAGGCGTCGTAAATCGACGGCTATTATTTAAATCTTCATTTATGAGTTTTTTCTGAATTTTAGTTCTTATTTGATGTATTTCCTATTTTACCCCTAGGTTAGTTTATATGAGTGTTGTGGCTCAAGGGACAATTTTGTAATTTGAGTTTTCTTATGTTGTGGCCTATATATAGGGCCTTAAGCTATTGTAATAGGGATGGATTATTGATATAAAAAACTGTGTTCCACACTTGTGTTCTTTTGAGAGAACGTTAGTGAGATTCCTATGGGAGGAATCGGAATTTTCACCAGCCGCAGGATGGGTCCAGGCTCGTGACTTGAAGTCCCTTGGAGAAGGGCAAAACATCACCCGTCAGTCTTCGGAAGAGTCCAATGCTCGTGTTTTTATCCTGTATCTTCTATCGTTTATTTCGATCTTTGTTTTTGTTTTGTTCCTTCTTATTGCTCCTATTAGTCATCTTCTTCCTCCTCCCCTCTCCACCTCACGGCTAATCCCTTCTTGAGTTTTCTAATTTGGGGTGAATGACATTTAGACTTAATTTGAAATTCAAATTATCTAAATTTGAAATTCAAAATTTATTTCCTAATTTAGTTTGCCTAAATTAGGAAAACATTTAATAAAATCAATTGGAATTTGGGTGAGCAAATCTTGGGTAGCTGTCAAATTCAAATTCATGAAATTTGACAATTGAAAAGTTTTCCTAATTTGTCATTCTATTTTTGGAAAGTTCTTAAATCAATTCTTTTGAATTTCAAATTCAATTGGATTTGGTTAATTACTTTCCTAATCCTAAATTTACATTTATGCAAGCATGACACCTCATCCCCAAATTCCCTCTTGCCCATTAATGCCGCCGGCCCCCTTGGTGGTCCCCTCTCCTTTAATGCTTCATTAAGGGATTTGATTGCATGCTTTTTGAATTTCAAATTCAAAATTCAAATTTACATGAGTTAAATGCCCCCTCAATTTCCTCCCTTTAATTAAGAAATTAATCGTAGCTTTAAGAAATTTAATTTCAAATTTTAAGGATTAATTCACTTAAGTAATTGGGGCCCACTTATTTGAAATCAAACCCCTCTCCCTCCCTCTCTCCTAGACCGGCCCCCTCTTCCTCCTTCCTTTGCCTAATTAAGAGTCAATTAATGCTCCTAATTAATTCCCTCATCCACTCAAAAACTCTTTGGAAATAACTCAAAAAATCTGAGATTTTCCCTTGGCTGAAATCTCAAGGCCCCACTACCGATTTAATTCCTTTCCAAATCCTGTTTATGTTATTTCTGGAATTAAATCCCGGTTTCTTGGTTTTCTCTCTTACCCGACCACCTCTCCCTCTCAAATTCCCTCTCTCCCACTTCAATGTCTTGCTGGAATGAAAGCTTGAATTCTCCTTCCAATTCCCCTTGCTCCTAAGCCTAGAATCCTGAGATTTCTCTCAGATTTTGGTTCCAAAATCTGAATTTATTTTCAGAATTTTAAAAAAGGAATTTAGGAGTTATTCTTTCCTCTCATCCGCCTCTCCCTTTCCCTCCCACACCTTCTCTCCACCTTTATTTCTCTTCTACTTTACGCCCATAAATTTGCTCCTGTTAGTTCTTTCTTCCCCACACTGAGAGCTAGATTTTCTCTCAGATTTCTGAGAGGAAAATCTGAGATATTTCAGAATTCCTGAAAGAAATTGTTGCAGATTTTTGGGACGATTTGCTCTTCAAGATCCTTATGCTTCAATCCTCCTACCCGTTCTACATCAAAATACCATCTTTCAAAGGATAAATTCTGCATTACTTCAGCTCTTACTGCCTATTTGCAAATAAGCAAAATGCTCCAGTAAAATGTCTTCAAAATAATTATGCCATGGGCAGTCAAGTCTAGCAGATGTGCTCTTCAAACAAGTATTAAAGCTATATTCAAAAATAATAAATAGACAAATTACCTTCACCCGGCTGAGCGAGTAAAGGTCACCCTGAAGACGAAAAAACTCCTTCCCATCTGCTGTTGCATGTGAGCCATCAAAATGAGAAGCAGTTGATTTGATCATGGCTAAACAAGCAGTTATCACCCATACTTCTCGGAAGCAAAATGGTAGGAAATTCTGCAAAAAGATAGAAATGGACATTCATTGGAAGTCAAACTAATATACAACGAAAAAAGAAATCATGTTAAAATTTCATGAAGCTATTGAATAAAAAGAAATAAAAAGAGAGAGTAAGGTCTAACCATACTTCATACAAGGCTAGAGTCTTTGAGAAGTTAATTATAAATGAATAGCCCCTTGAAGCAACCTCAACAGCACGAAATAATTTGAATAATAGCTGCAAAAGTTATAAAATGATTAAAACATATTGCACGTTCAAATTAGGAGGAAGCTTGTAATTATCATAATTAATGGCCATTAATAGCCATTTATTTTAGAATATCCTCATACAGATCATGCATATATACTGTACAACTGATTAGAGCACCATGCTTAAATTCTTCAAATAGGTCAACAAAATCCATAATCTTTTAGGTTGATACTCAAATGAACTCATGCAATAAACCAATTTATTCAGTCATAATTAATATCAAATTTCACGGAGATGCATGATTTTTTATCAGATAATATAACATCCTCATGCGCTTATATTAACCACTTCAATTTGACCATAATTTTTTTAATAAAGAACAAGTCAATTTAAAATCAAAAAAATCTCTCAATAATGAATTAGGATACAAAGATGAGTAACCTTATATAAATAATCTTTGTTAAGCAAAGATGAGTCATTATTTAAGTCTTCATAAATTCGATTGAAAAGCTTAAATGTAAGATATTCCCTTCCAACATGATCAAACACAATAACCTAAACCTACATTATATGCATAAAGACAAATAATTCAAAGCATCAGCAGATCTATTATATGAGCAATATCCATGTTTAAGGGAAAAAGAATATTCATGTGGAAAGCTACCCTACATGGCATGCCTACACCCTAAATTTTTTGAGAAATCAAATAATTTAAAGCTTGAAGATCATAATATACGACAAGTTCTTTTGGTGACAAATAATGTCTCCAGTATCAAATAAGTTGCACAACAACAACGAATTCTATATCGTGTTTAAATATTTTTACATAGGGGATGTTTAGTTAGCTAAAAAAAGAATGTAGTGTAAAAAGAATATTTTGGAGTTGTTTGGATGTGTAAAGTAAATTCAGCTGAATGTTTTTTTTTTTTTTTTGAAGTAAAATGAATGTAGTGTAAAATCTAAAGATGATGGCGATCGGTAGGTGGCGGCGGCGGCGGCGGAAAACGAGGGCTGGTGGAGGCGGCAGTAGCCGACGGTGATGATGGTTGGTGGTGGTGGTCTACGGCAGTGGTGGTGGCCAGCAGCGGCAGGTGTCAACTGGTGGAGATGACTAGCGACGGTGGGGGCCGGTGGCCGGCACTGGGTGGAAATGGACGACGATGGTCGTGGTAGTGGTGGTGGTGGTGGTGGCCAGCGAATGGCAGCAGTAGTGGCCGGTTGAGATCAAGCGAGCTTGTTTGCGGTGGCCAGTAGCGACAGGTGTCATTCTCGATCAAAACTAGGTAAACTAGAATGATTTATACTACATTTACTTATCATTGTATTCCTTTTTCATCCAACCAAACATCAAGATTTTCAAAAACCCCTGCATTTGGAATACTTTAGACTCATTTGAAATCCAACCAAACAACCCCTTAACTTTATTTAATTTCTCACCATGAGATGCCCTTCAAGGCTCAATGCTCCTCCAATACCTACTCCAGACGCATCACAAAAACACTCAAGCACCTTGTTAAAATAAATACCATAAGTGACAAATTTAGTTCATTAAATTCCAACTTTTAAGATAATTTGTAGTAGGAGCTATAACAATACTAAACACTTTAATGAATCATCTATAAAAAATTGTCAAATCATGTATATTAGTAGATTTTGATCAACCTGTTAAGCCGGTCCATTGGACCGGTCCATCCATTCCACACGGGACAGGCTCAAGCGGAAGTTACGCCTCTCCTGTACATGTCGATCGGACAGTCTGAGTACAATGGAGCTGTTTAGGAAGGATTGTTGTGGGAGTTAGGAGGAAATTTGAATGTAAGGATTGTTTAGAGATTTACTTTTTTATTACATGCATTAAATAGTTTGTTTTCCTAGAATTAGGGCATCTTGAATTTGGTTGAAATTTGAGATCTCTTAGATTTAGGTTTTTGGGCTCTAACGGCATCTAGAGATTTGGGAGAGATAGATTCTCCTCTCGAATAAAGGATCAATTGTATCTTGTTATTTTTCTTCCGTTAGTTTGATTATCGTAATAAAATTATTTTTTTTCCTTTGGATTTGTGGATCGTTCTCATTGATTTCATCAAGATAGTTAGGTTTTACTTGGGGGAATTCCAAGTTTTTCCTAACACAACCATTCATCACTTTAATCTTATCAAAGTAAACAACTAATCCATCTTCTAATACACTAAATCTAAAGAAGATCACAAAAGGAGTCACAAAGAAATTTTATATCAATTCAAATATAACTTTTTAGATTGTAAAACATCAAATATTTTACTAAAATGCGGCAAACCATCATCTTGTTTCATGCAAAAAATTAAAACATCATCTAAATAAACAAAAAAAATCATGAAAGACTTGGTTAGAAAATATTAGAAATATTATTTATTCTATTAAATTTAAATCAGAACTTGACTCTTAACATAACATAATGGAGAAAAATATTCATGTAGCCGACCCTCATAGTGGGATAAAGGCTTGATTTTGTTATTGTTGTTGTAAAGGTTAAAATACACGATTCATTATGTAAGTACTAAATGCATTAGTTAATCTAAAAGGAATATCATTCATATTATTCATCTTTAGTATTAAAAGCGATCTTATATTCATCATCTTCCCTTATTCTAACTTGATGATATACACTCAAACAAATTTTAGAAAATCTCATAGCACTATTCATTATATCCAACATATCATCCAAACCATATATAGAAAATATATATTTAACCATAATTTTATTGGTAGATTTACTATTTACACAAATTCTCCAATTACCATCCTTTTTTAATATAAGCAAAGCAGAAATAGCACATTTACTATGCCTTTCATAAATCCCTTCTTAAGCACTTCATCAATTTGTCTCTTTAAAATCATCTATGTTTGATTAACATCATGAAGCAACGTCATACATTTAGGTGCCACATTATTCATTTCCATATTTACTAAGGCAAAGATTGAAACCTCTTTCCTACGATCTTTCTTAAATGCACGTTTAATAAGAATATTTAAAGAGTTGTTCACTTCATTGGGAACATTAAATGCTTATGAGGATTCAAATTTACCCTTAGACTTTGTAGGTTTTAAAATATCCTTCTCCAATTAATATTGAAAGCATGTGCATTGGACTGCCAAAAATAAGTAACATTTAAGTTATAAAGTAAGTTCTACCAAAAAATAATATGAGCAATGTCCTCAGGCAGCACATCACACCATATTCTATCGGTATAATTAGCCAATTGAATTAGAATTAGACATCTTTGATGCACAAAAATATCAATTATATCTACATATGTTATTGTCAATTAAAGCAACCTCAAAATCACTAATTTCCTTATTGAATTCCTGAAATATCATTAGAATTATTAATCACAGTTTCTTCCTTCCCCACACTCATATGCAAATTCCTATAGAACATTCATCAGCATAATGCCTAGTTTAATGACACTTCAAATATATCTTTGCAGAAATCTTTGACGTAGATGTAAATACAGCTGATTTCCCACTAATCTCCTTATTGAATTTAGTTACCATCCTCAATAATATTAGGCGTAATAGATTTAACTTGACTGCTCTGACAAAATGATATACTCCCTAGAAATGTAATAACTCACTTAGAAGCAAAAAATTGAAGCAATTGTTCAAAACCTAATGCAAGTTGAAAAGCATGCTCAATTGATGGAATGTGGTGAGATTTCAATCCCTCGTTGTATCAGGTCTAAATTAGATTTAAACATAAAGATTGTGATTTTCAAATCTTCTATTTTCTCAGAATGCAAAAACATTATTTCTAATTTATTCATATATTCAATAAAATATTTATTTGATAAGAAACACTTGAAGATTTCATGTAAATCCTACCAATAAAGACAAAAATAGCAAAGTGCTCCACAAATCCAATGGAAAGAACAACAAAACAGTGATTTTTATTGAATAAAATAAAACTAACAGAAGAAATAAAGCAAGATACAATTGATCCTCAATTTGAGAGGAGGATCGTTCTCTCCCAATCCCTAGATGAATCCAGGGCCCAAGACACCAAGAACAAGAACTCCAAAAATAGCCACAAAACAAAGCATGCCCTAACCCTACAGTTCCACCTATTTAATACCTTAATTCCCTAATTTCAAACTCCTAATTAAATTTTCCCTCCCAATCCTGGCCGCCCTCCTCTCCTTCCCTAATTGGTCTGCCTAATGGGGTCCACAAGGCTTGGCAGCAAATCTAAGGGGGCGGTTTTGTCCACCTCCTGTAAACCATAGCTGACCCCCCTTGGGCCGGCTGGGCCGGTTCAGTGAGAACCGGCCTAACATTATTCCCTTGCTTTAGCAAATTAAATTTATTAAGTAATCCATCATAATATAACTAAGGAACATATTTCTCTTTTATAAGTTCTTTTATTTCAGCCAAGCTATTATAGATTCCCTTCCCAACGTCTCAGCATCTCCATACTCATCCAATAAATTTTAACTTGACCAGTTAACTTGATCTTTGCGAAGTGCACTTATAATTTAGCATTTAAAGAAACTATCAATATCAATGATCAATCAATAAAAACATTCATTTAAAGAAACTATCAATATCAAATGATCAACAATAAAAACATTAGGATCAATTTTAATTTTTCTGGTTATGTAATCATCTATGCCAAAATTTCAATATTCATAACTTTCATAAATCACCTTATTAGACACCCTAAATTGTCTATCAAGATAATTCTCATGTCTCCTATCAAAATTAACATTCAAGCGTGCTCATCAATATAATATATATATATATAAGAATAAAAAAAGGGATTTTGGTGTTGAATTTTTGGAAGAATCTTCAGGGTTTTCTTTGATAGCTTGCGAGCTATGTATCCCCTTCTCTTTCTTCTAGGATACCTTGCGAGCTTGTCCTCTCTTTCGTCTCGACTTCTTACCTCTTTCATCTCTCTGCAAGTGACCACCCCATTTGTATCTATCTTCTCAACAAAGAAAATGCTACTTTAGGAGTTTTTTTTAATGTTATAAGTTTGTAAGCGTCATTTTGATTCTATAAAAATAGTGTATTTTCTGATTTAGCATGTATTTTCTTATTTTTCTAGGAAGTCTTTTAGTATGCTTGCAAAATTAGGGTCTTCCTAATTTTTTTACTTGTATCAATTTGGTATCAGAGCCTAGAATTGTATCTTCCTTGATTATTTGTGTCTTTTTTTAGGTGTTTAAAAATAAATGGAAAACCATAAAAAATTTGAGTTAGTTGTGGATGAAAATCAGCTAGAAGATTTTGAGGTCCCAATTCCAATGGACAAATGGATTCCGTTAGAAGGAAGTTCAACAGACCCGATTCAAAATGAGTTATACAAGCTTCAAATGAAGATGCATGTATGTACGGAGCAATACATGAGGAAAAAGTGAAGACTTCAAGACCAATTCATGCAAGAAAGAGAAGAGATCCTAAAGAAGTATGCGGCCAAGATTCAAGAATTGGATGCGCCTCCTTCGTTTCGTCGGGAAAAACCTAAAAAATCTTCATCAGGAGATGAGTCCTTTTAACCGGGGAAGAATCTGATGTAGTCAAGGGGGGGGAGGGGGGCAAAATTATTTGCCTTGTAATTTTGGTGAGCTGCTAGGTTCTCTTCTAAAATCAGCTCATTAAAGCTCAATTGCTGCTTCTTTTTCAGCTCATAAGTTAGAATTAAATAGGTTCTCCCCCCCCCCTCTTTCCCCCTTCCCTTGGCCCATCGGTTTCCCCACCTAGCTCCCCTTCCCGTGGCTGGTTCCTTCCCCCCTTGGCTTCCTGTTCCAGTAACCTAGGCTGCCTGTTCCGGTTCCCTATGGTAGCCTGTTCCAGTTCCCTATGGTAGCCCGTTCCTGTCTCCCGTGGCTGCCTTTTCGATTCCCTGTGTGGCTCTTCAGGAGTTGCATCTGGACAGCCCATTGGCCTTCTTTTTTCTCCTATTTTGATGGTTCAGTTAAAGGAAATTTGGGCTGCTTGGCTACCCCTTTTCTCCTATATATAATATATATGTGATGTTTTGTAAGCATAAAAGGATATTATGTGTTGAGTTTTGGAGATAAAAATCTGAGGGTTTTCTTGGAAAAGCTTGCGAGCTTATTCCATTCTTCTTCTTCTTCTTGGGAAAGCTTGCGAGCTTGTCCTCTCTTTCGTCTCGAGCTTCTTACCTCTTTCTTCGCTCCGCAAGTGACCACCCCATTTATATCTTTCTTCTCAAAGTGACGAATAAAAGCTCCTTTAGGTGTTGTTTTATGTTTTATTTTTATGTTCTAAATTTGTAAGCGTTATCTTTAACAAATGAAGGTTGTATTTTATTATTTTTCAAGAAAGATTGTTAGTATGCTTGCAAAATTAGTCTTTCTAATTTTTTTTTGCATCAATTGAGTCGGTTGTGGAAGAAAATCAGCTAGAAGATTTTGAGATCCCCATTCCAATGGACAGATTGATTCCGTCAGAAGGAAATTCAATCGACTCGATTCAAAATGACTTATACAAGCTTCAAATGAAGATGCATATATGTACGGAGCAATACATGAGGAAAAAGCGATGTCTTCATGACCAATTCATGCAAGAAAGAGAAGAGATCCTGAAGACGTATGCGGCCAAGATTCAAGAATTGGATGCACCTTCGTTTCATCAGGAAAAACCTAAAACATCCTTATCAGGAGATGAGTCCTTTCAACCGGGGAAGAATCTGATGTAAGCAAAGGGCAGGGGTGCGGGGGGGGTAAAATTATTTACCTTGTAATTTTGATGAGCTGCTAGTTCATCTTCTAAAATCAGCTCATTAAAGCTCAGTTACTGTTTTTTTTTTTCAGCTCATAAGTTAGAATTAAATAGGTTCTTCCCCCCTTCTTTCCCCCTTCCCTTGGCCCTTCAGTTTCCCCACCTGGCTCCCCTTCCCGTGGCTGGTTCCTTCCCCCCTTGGCTGCCTGTTCTGGTTCCCTGGGTTGCCCGTTCCTGTCTCCTGTGGCTGTCTTTCTAGTTCATTGTGTGGCTCTTCGGATGTTGCTTGTGGGCAGCCCCTTGGACTTCTATTTTTCCCTGTTTTGATGGTTCGGTTGGAGGAAATTTGGGTTGTTTGGCTTCCCCTTTTCTCCTATATATAATATATATGTAATGTTTTGTAAGCATAAAAGGATGTTATGTGTTGATTTTTGGAGATAAAAATCTTTGAGTTTTCTTGGAAAAGCTTGCGAGCTTATTCCATTCTTCTTCTTCTTGGGAAAGCTTGCGAGCTTGTCCTCTCTTTCGTCTCGAGCTTCTTACCTCTTTCTTCTCTCCGCAAGTGACCACCCCATTTATATCTTTCTTCTCAAATTGACGAATAAAAGCTCCTTTAGGTGTTGTTTTATGTTTTATGTTTATTTTTATGTTCTAAATTTGTAAGCTTTATCTTTAACCAATGAAGGTTGTATTTTGCTATTTTTCAAGAAAGAGAAGAGATCCTGAAGAGCTAGTGTATTTATGGAATTTGATTATTCAGAACTTCTGTCAATGAAAACGAGGATATTGATGTGTCAACCAAGTTGGGATCAACCTCATCTTAACAACTGTGTTGAAAACTTGAAATTGAACCCTTATGCAGAAAGACCAAGTTATCAAAAGACGAGCATGTAGTATCCTTAGGACAAATTATTCAATTTCAATGGACTAGCTTCAGGCCAAATTTTGTTTTCATACCTTTTTCTGGTGTGTTAAAAATCTGGAGGGGTACTCTCATCGATTATACAAGGACACTGCAGAAGCTGATGGTGAATAAACTCCCAAAAACATAGAAAAAATGGCCTTCCTCTAATCAATTTAACTACCAAGCATGAAACAGTTGTCTATTGTTGCTAGTTATAATAAGAATGAAATGCAAGCATCAGTTGTTCTTCCTCAGACTAAGGGCTGTCAAAAACATTCAATAAAGGAGCTTATAGCAATAATTTCTATAAGAAAGGGTGCTTCTCTACTATGATTTGAAGGAATGAAGACATACTTTCCCTTTACCTGATAAAAGTGGAACTATCCTTCAAAATACCTCTGAAAATTTCCACAATGTCCATATATGTAGTTTTCATGTCAAGTTCAAATTTCCCTAAAATCATCAATTCCATAAATACACTAGCTCCTAGAAAGAAAGAGTCATATTTTGTTTTGATTCTTTTATTTCACATCATTATTCTATCTTTATTAGTAGAATCAACATGATGGCTTTGGAACAAATGAAGGTTTATAATTGAAAAAGATGCTAGAATAGACTAACCTATGTTTAGATAGCAAAACTAAGATAAAATAAAAATACAATTTGGATTAGAAAGCAATATCAAATATCCATGGATAAAATAAGCAGCAAACTTGCATGAAAACTCTAATATTCAAAGTAGTTCTTAAATTTCTAAAGATAACTCGTACGCATATCGAAAAAAGTACCCCTTACAGTAAATCGGTACATAAAACCATGAATTAGGTTTGAATCACGCTAAACTGTTTGATTAGAAGATTCATTAATGATATGGAAAAATATTAAAAGTATATGATCGTGTCAACAAGAAGATCATAATGATAATTTAAAACAGAAGCTCCAACTGTTTAAAACAGAGAGCTCATTTGTAAGTTCCATCCTATATGAATACTAAATCAAGTGGTACTAGCACGTTTTACAAATATAGTAGAAAGTTAATAGAAACCAACTAACGATTCTAAACTATCCTCTTTTAAGTGTATAACTACCTGTTCACATCCTGAGACCATCAAAAAAGTTTCATTCTCGCCACTGGAAGACCAGTAAGTAAGAATATGGCTTCGTGAATCTCATCCTTCAAGTTTGTAGGGTATTCTAGGATACCACCATGTGTTTTCCAACTTTAAATATTATAATCCATATTGCTCAAAACAAAGTAACAAAAAACAAGAGAAATTGGATAGTGACAGAGCAATTATGTATCAAATTTTTGAGTTTACCATATATATTCCATCCTTTAAATATACGAGATAGGCATGATAGTTCTTCAAAACACAAACTTTCAAGTTATATCTCTATCAATAATGACATCATGTAATGCCAAATATCATGGTACTTAAGTCAGCTTTCCAGATTAATGACTTTTAGAACTGGGGTTAATGCCATTAAAAGAAGACAATCAAGCAATTGAAAATATTGCAACAAAAGCAACAGCTCGATATGTCACTGGCATATAAACACTCCCACCGTCACAAAAAAAAAACTCCCAAATCATTACAGAATGCAATATAAAACCTAAAACTGCACTGAATATTGAGTAGAAAAATACCAATTCATACAAATCTAAGAATATCAAAAAACAACGAGGTTGGAATGAATCTCCTAAGTTAAATGATAAATTCTTGGAATGATTTAAATGCATCTTCAGATATTCACATGCACGCAAAACTCCAAATTCGTCCTCGTAGTTTTCAAACAATATGGAAGAAGTAGGGTGGATTGGAACCTGTTTCTAAATAGCAAAGTTCTAGTTCATCATATTCACGCAAGGCATCTTCAAAAAGATGAGCCATCTCAAACATGAACGCTAGGCTTTCCTGCAAATTATGTAGCATCCAACTTAAAAAGCGAAGTTCCAAATAACACAGTATATAAACAATAATAACTTCTGCCTAAGTAGCAAACATCAATAATATCAGCACCTTTAAAATAAAGAAGTTACAGAAGCTCCAGACTGGCATAAAACGCTGTTCAGTGAGCTTGCGAATTTCCTCCTCATAAAATTGAATGCGTCGATCTAATGAATTCCTAATAGATTCAACTATTTTAGAATCCAAATCTTCCCAAAAGTTTGCATCAGGTCCTTGCAAGTCCAATTTACAACACCTGGGCGTGAAAGAGTCCAAATCTAAAAATTGAATTCGATGACAGACAAATAACAATCTGGAAATGAACAAATCCATGCTAGCTACATGCTGACTAAAAGAATTAGAACAAAAAAAAAAGAGTGAATGGTTAATTTATGAATTGTTCTAATAAATTTTTGTTCCTCATGTCAGGAATTGGTCTAGTTAAATTATGAATTGGTCAAGAAGACCATTTAGTGTCCATTGCATGGTAATTTTAATTGAAATATATATATATTCATTTCAGACGGAAGTGCTTACTTTGCTATACTACAAACATCAATACAATTCGCTTCCTAATGTAATAAAGTAAACATGTGTTATACCTCTCCCTCTTTTTTGAATTAAAATCAACCTGAAGTCTAGCATATATCTTTTTAGCCATCTTAGTTGCTTGATCATTGTTGGGGTGAGCTTTTGACACAAATACAATAAACCACTCTCGCTCATCATTTTGAACAATTAATTTTAGTCGAGGCTTTAGAATTGTCTTGAACTCATCAAGATCCTGTAGACAACAAGAAGAAAATATATTAACAGAAAATGTATTTCAACAGAATATGATTTCAGAGGAAAAAGATGTAAGTTCTGTGAAATAACGAGATAGATTTATCATGTACCTCACAAGTAACAAGAACAACAGTTGCATATGGTTCCCGGAACCAGAAGACAGACAGTTCTTGTGAAAAGCGACTGCGTAGCCTTGAATCAGTTGTTAATATAAACTCTGCAGATAAATTCTCAACATTGACAGTGTTTCGAGTTTTGTTGCTAAGAAGAGCCTTCTTTAGAGGCAAGCGTTCTTCAAATCCCTCCTTAACACTTGGCCACAGGTCACTTACATCTTCCACTGAAGAATGAACTCAATAAAGTAAAACATCAGCTCTCAAAGTCAATGTCACATTATCATAATGCATCAATAGTTGTTCATGAAGAAAGAAAGGAAGGAGGAAGGTAGATTGGTGCAACGGGTAAAAGAAAAAGAGGGAAAAAAAAGTTACAGGGACAAATACTGAACTTCATTTGAGACAACCAACTATCCTAAACATCCTATTAGATAATAACAAAATAGGATATAAATATGAATTATACTTGAATTACTAATTGCAGAACAAGATGCAATCAATTTTCATATGAGATTTAGAGAACTATAATTTTAGAAGAATAAACATCTATTTTCAAAGATCATATGCCATCCATTTATATCTTTGAATGATTGAGATTTAAAATAGATTATCCTCCTTTTCAATTCCCAATATCATATTTAATTAGTTAATATCTATTTTAAATATCAATTATTCAAATATGAGGACGAATATTATAAGATGTATAAAGAAAAGAGCAACAATCCTTCTAAAAACGTAGTAGTTTAACTTGCGTGGATAATATGCATAACAGATATTGCAACATATTTGAGGTTCACTTAACAGTACAAAATCTATGCATGACATGCATTATTGAAAATTATAATTTTAGAAGAATAAACTTCTATCTTCAAAGATCATATGCTACATCTTTTGAATGATTGAGATTTAAAATAGATCCTCCTCCTTTTCAATTCCCAATATCATATTTAATTAGTTGCTATATATTTTAAATCTCAATCATTCAATATGAGGATGAATGGTATAAGATGCATAAATATACAATCCTTCTAAAAAGGTAGCAGTCTTGATAGCAGTCTTGATTGGCAGATAATATGCATGATAGAAACTGAAGGTTCACTTAAAAACACAAAATCTATGCATAGCATGCTTTATTGGCATAATATCATACGCTTAGATGATAATTGTGCCCTCTCTCTTGTTCGGAGAGTGAATATGAAAATAGTTGAGAAGTCTAACATATCCGAGAAGTTATGACACAACTCAGATTTGAAGAAAATAGAATTAACGGTATTTTTATAAATCCAGGCATGATTGTAATAGTCTTAACATTCTTTCTTGAATTGCAATCACCACTTGCTAGATCTCAATCATTTAGTGAGGTTGATAGATCTTCTCTAGAAGCAGATTTTACAAGAGGAGATGCAACTGGTTGTGGAGCAATCGGAGAGGAATATTTCCCCAGGGCAAGATGGAATTACGTTCTCATTTATAAAAGACTTCTGGAGCATGGTCAATGAAGATGTGTGGAGTGCAGCAGCTCACTTCTTCAAGTCAGGTTTGATGGACAAATCCTGGAAAGAAACTTTAATTGTCTTAATTCCAAAAATCAAAAGTCCTCAAGGACCTACTAATTTCAGACCTATTAGTCTTTGTATGACTATTTACAAAATAGTTGCTAAAGTGCTTTCTAATATATTGGAGAAAGTTATACATAAGATAGTATCGGTGGATCAGGCGGCTTTTGTCAGAGGACGTTCACTGTCAGATCATGTTCTTCTAGCCCAGGAAGTTTTTAATAGATTCAGATGGTCTAAGTGTAATAAGGGGCTGTTGGCTATTAAATTAGACATGGAGCAAGCTTACGATAGCATGGGATGGATGACATTAAGGCAAGCTCTGTTTCGCTTCAATTTTCCGGTAAAATTTATTGATCTTTTGTTGCAGTGTATTCTTAACCCCAATTTCTGCATTTTGATTAATTGAAAAAAGACTAATTGGATTGAAGGAAAATGTGGATTTAGGCAAGGTTGCCCTTTATCCCCATTTTTATTCATCTTATGTTCCCAAATTTTCTCTGATGCATTAAGTGGAAGGATAGGGAATGGAGTTTCTGTTTCACGACTTGCTCCAAAGGTGTCTCATTTATTTTATGCGGATGACGTGTTATTATTTTCTGAGGCCAACTTGAAGGATGTAAGGGAACTGAAGATGATTATCTCCAAATATTGTGATTGGACGGGTCAGAGGGTGAATGAATCCAAATCCATGATTGTCTTTGGCAAGCATACTAGAAATAGAATCAAAAAGGCTGTGGTTAAAGTTTTGAATTATAAGAAGGTTGAAGAATTCAACTACTTAGGGGTTAAAATGGCTTTAAGAAGATTGAGAATGGTGGATTTCCAGAGTTTGCTGGATGCAGCTACCTCCAAGTTGAACACATGGGGTAAGAGATGTATTTCCTTAGAAGGATGTTTGGTTCTTGTCAAGTCAGCATTCCTATCTTTGCCAGTATTCTTATCTTCTTTGTCTCTAGTTCCTTTAAGCATTTTAAAGGAATTTGATAAGTTGTGCAGGGGATTTTTATGGAGTAAGAATAACAAGAAACCTGGAATTCATTATGCATCTTGGGAATTGCTGTGTAAGAAAAAAGCTGAGGGTGGCCGCGGATTGTATTCGGCAGTTGAGAAGGTCGGGCCACTTAGAGCTAAGTTTGCTTGGAATTTCATAAATAACCCAGATTCTTTGTTGAATCAGGTGTTGAGAGCTAGATATGGTGGAGATGTTTGGTCTACCTCGGTAAAATCTGCTTGCTCTCCCACTTGGAAGATTATAAAGATGGGATCTAATCATCTAAGGAAAGCGGTTAGATGGCAAGTTTCAAATGGAGATTCGATCAATTGGTTATATGACACTTGGATCTTAGACAAGTGTATAGCTAGATGGCCGACTTTTGTGAATGTACAGGATTTTACAGATTGCAAACTCAGCTTCTTCATTGAAGGAGGTAGTTGGAAGGTGGAGATTCTGCAAGAGGTATTCGGAGAACAGCTCATTGATTTAATCCTGAAAATACAGATTGAGGAGGGATGGAATTCTGATAAATTGGAGCTGATTAATAAGTTCTCAAGGAGATCAATTACGTCTCTTTCAACCAATGAAGATGGGATACTTGAAGATAAAGCGGCTCACTGGAATTGGATGAAAAGATTAAAGCTTAATCCAAAGATTGAGCTCTTTTGGTGGAGGTTGTATAACAACGCTATTCCATCGAATTTTTTGCTGGCTAATAGAAGGATCGGTTCTTTCTATGGATGTCCGAGGTGCTGTGAACTTGTAGAAGATAATAACCATATTGGAGGACAATGCGTTAAAATCAGGAAGGTAATTGCTCTGATTAATGAATGGGGATTGTATATCCCGGTTTATCAATGCTTTGAGGATTGCTTAGAAGGTCTTCAGAAGCTGATTGGGAAGGAAGATCTCGCTGCAAACTTATACTGTACAGTGGTTTGGATGGTATGGAAGAGTAGGTGCAAACTAATACATACAGGTAAGGAGGATTCGGATAACTCAATAGCAGCCAATGTTATTTCTTATGCGGTTCAGAGTAATTTTTTGAACTTCCAACTGGAAAACTGGGATACCAACCAGCTTCGGCTGTCTTCTCATTGGCATCCCCCACCTCCCGGATGGATTAAAATCAATGTAGATGGTGCTCTAAAGAAGAACTACAGGGCTGGAGTCGGAGGAGTAGCTAGAGATGACAAAGGCCGGTTCCTGCTTGCTTTTGGGAATACACTTCAACAATGGGATGCTGCTCAAACAGAACTTTGTGCTGTGTTGTTTTTGAAGAATGTGGTGAAAGAATGGATGTTTGAAGCACAAGGGGTCATCATTGAAGGAGATAACAGAAACATCATCAACTTGCTTCAGAAGTCAATCAAAAATTGGAAGGTTAGCAGAGCTATTGAAGATAGTTTGGCGTTTTTACTAGATTTTAAGCAAGTGGTTTTCTCTTATTCTAGTAGAATTGGTAACAATTTAGCGGACATATGTGCTAATTTGTCTTTAGAAGGATCTTTTTTATGGGAAGATCTTCTAGACAACTCCATTCCTCCTTCGTTTTTACATTGTCTAAAGGAGGAGTGTGATGCTTTAGGGGGGTCTTGAGTGAGTTGTATCTGTTTTTTGTTTTTCTTTGGGTTTAATGCATTTTGAGGCATTGGTTTCAAAAAAAAAAGAATTGCAATCACCACTAAACCTTGATCCAGTCATTGCCCCAGTAATATCCCTTAGAAAAAGAAATGGAAAAGAGATAGAAAATAGTCTTAGCAACATAAGGGCTCCCATTTTGTACTTCATGTCATGTAAAAGAGAAAAATATAAGGAAAGGCAGTTGAAGTTGCGGATAAAATACTAATAAAAATTTCTAGGGTTCTAGTAAAAAGAAAAAAATCATATGTAGAAGTTGTAATACTCTAGTGATCATTTCCATCTCTGAAATAGAATTTTATTTAACAAATCAATTCCTCTTTTCCACAAAAGGAATCAACAGTCTCCGTTGCAAAATCAGAACACTCAAACGGTATAGCTGAATCAACATGTTTGAAGTTTTTACTCAAAGCTTTCCTCTCAGCACCATTTCATATTTCTACTGTATCTCTACAATATGAAACTAAAAATCAAGAAAAATGTAACTAGTACATGGAGCTTCTAGAGATGGGTTGTTGCATAGGTCTTAACACTGCATCTATATGAAGATTGTTTTCATTATGAAGTTACAAATCATACTTCAATATATTTGTCTCCGACAAAAAACCACCAGCATACCTCTACCACTATAAAGTAAAGACAAAATAGAAGATAAAGGGTAGGGTAGGGTGGGGTGATGATGTGGAACGAGGTCTTCTAGGTTAAGATTTGGGCAATCATACTCATTCAAACTCACAAAGTAGTTCTTATTACCATGAAATCTCAAAATTCACCAGCTTTATAAGAACGCAAAGGCAGAAAGGCTTGATCCCATCCTTGACAGAATAAAATTAAGACCATGATAACTAAGTGAATTCTTGTACTATTAAGTCCCTTTTTTATGATTTTCCATTTTCCTTCTATCCCAAACTATGATGAATCATGCCTAGAGTTGCTTCGATCACTTAATGCCAAAAAACCAAACTATTGCATAAAGATTATTTTATGCACCAAATGCCAATAAAACAATCATGTAAGCCCTAATCCACATGTAGTTACACAACTAGCAAAGCAACTATATTTTTTTATTACGCAGCTATTTTTAACTAAACTAATGGAGTCAATCGGCTTCAATTCAAATCCAAAAACCTTAGGCTATGTTTGGAGTCACTCATCTCCTACTGAGTTTCAAAAGTAATTCCAATTAAAAAGAGAAATGTGTTTAGAAAATATTTTCTATCTAGGTAAGTCTTCTCTATTACTTATTAGCATTAGAACTCATACATAATTCTTAATTATATAAAATTGTGTGATGATTCAGAACAATAAAAGTAAATCATAACACAGTTATAACAAAGGAAGCCTTAAATAGAGTTCGTTGCATTAATGAAATCATGCAAGGGTAATTTTGTAATGAAATAACTCATTTCAAGCATTTTACCCAGGAATTAATGAAATAACAAGCACTAGTTTCTAATAAAACCATACCTCTAAGGTTAAGTTATGGGTACTAAAAAGTAGATTGTGATGCCTCAATTCACACTAAGAGCGTCAATAAAAATTGACTTTAAATAAAAAAAAAAAAAGAGGGCTAGTCTTTTTACTGATTGAAGAATCATAGCTTCAACTCTCTAAGCTAGTTTATAGCACTTTGCTTGTTTAGAGACGTACAACTATCCAAAACAACCATGAGAATTTTGTTCTTAAATTGATTTTGATAAAATAAAACCCAATTTTACAATTACCAATATGATCACCTCCTCAAAAACATTCAACCTATTGAGAATGTTCATATTCAAATATCTCGAATACAATATTTTTCTCTCAACAATCAAATGTCCTCAAGACTTTCAAATGTCAGGGCATCATTGCATCATGCTAAATACATCCAAGAGCTTCTCAATCTTGAGAAAAACCTCCTTCAGAAAGTCTAAGATCAGATCATCTACTCTCCTCTACTAGAATGTGCATGTTTGTGGGTGGAACATTGCACACCAAAGCAACTAAAAATAAAAATAAAAATGAAATGAATTTTGGTCAAAGAAAGATCATTTCACTGATACAGTTATTTTCTTCACCAGTTGCTAATGATATATGAAAAATTGCCAAAATAAAATTGCATATGTTTGAGTCCCAATGACAACCTTATTTCTCAACAACCAGTAGCCCTAATCCCATTAAATGTACGGGCACTATTTGATAAAAATATATTTGGTGTTTTTGCCATTTTTTCTTGCAATTTCCAATTCAATATAACAATTATCTGTCTAACTACCTATTCAATAATATTCAACCTACTAAGAGTGTTGATCGACTGAAATCACTTTCACTCAATGATTAGTTGATTTAAAGCTTTTCATTTGTGAGGACATAAGGTGCATCATGAAAAATGCAATCCAATAGTGTTTTAACCTTGAGAGAACCTCATCTAGAGAATTCAAATTCATATCCTCTCTCCTCTATAGCATCTAATGGGTGAAAATCTTCGCATCTGAATTGTTAAGAATTCAGTATAAAATAGATTTTGGTAAAGGAAAAGACATTTCACTATAAAATGGTCCCCCCTCCTAACATTTTATATCCACTACAGTACAGTTGCACCCACCCTTCTTCATTCCTCTCCCTCTAATTGCATTAGTACTCCTTGGAATCGCTTACCTCCTTCATCCCTCGATATAATCTCCTCCCAACCCAACTTGGCCCTCTTCAGATTGGGTCAGCTCTTTCAGTCCCTTCATCATATTTTTTATTTTTTTTTATCTGGATCAAAATATCATGGCATAGATGTTTGCCATTTCTTTCATCTGTATCATTTCATTCATTGAATATTCAATTGCTTGCTAGTATTTCATTCATTTTAAGGCAACTTGGACTAAAGTTGGATGTGATTCAACAGGCAGCAACAACAACAACAACAACATCAAGCCTTTATCCCACTACGTGGGGTCGGCTACTTGAATCCTTTTTCTCCATTGTGTCCTATTAAAAATCAAATTCTCATTTAAATATAATAAAGAAAGGTCATTCCTAATATTTTATAACCAAGTTTTTTAAGTATGCTTCTACCTTTCTTGACATAAGTCAAATCTAATACATCTACTTTCCTAACCAGGTCATCGGAAGGCCGCCGTTTTATGTAACCAAACCATCTAAGGTTACTCTCTCTAATCTTATCTTTTACTGGAGCTACTCCAACCTTTTCATGTATATGCTCATTTTGTATCATATCTCTAAGGGTAAAGCCACTCATCCACCTGAGCATCCTCATCTCTACCACACTTAACTTAGTATTATACTTTTCTTTTAATGGCCAACATTCGGCACCATAAAGCATTGCAGGCTTGATGCATGCAAATTTCAGTTTATTTTAGTTTTTTTTGTAATTTGAATGCATGATTTTTTTTTATGCTACCCTATGATGGAAAGCATCCAATGATCATGAGTATGCAGTGCTTGTGCTTGGCAAACTTTGGGTGTGCTGGCTATTTAGGTTCCTTGGTTCTTGGGCTGTTAGTTGCTCTCGGGTTGGGCTTGGCTACTCGGTTTTTGGCTGTGTTTTTTGAACTACTATGTGTCAGCTCATTAATGTTTGAGCTGTTGTTTTTTCGCTCATTATGATAAGAAGTTCTCCTCCTTTTTAGCTCATTATGTGGAGTGTCTCTTGCTCTTTCCCCTCCCCTGTGGCCCTTTGATTTTCCCTGCCTGGCTTCCTGTTCCAATTCCCCTGGCTGCCTGTTCTAATTCCCCTGGCTGCTAGTCCTAGTTCCCCTGGCCGTCCGTTCCTTCCCTCTTGACTGCCTTTTCCGATTTTCTGTGTGGCTGTTCAAGTGCTATTTCTGGACTGAATGCTGACCTTCCATTTCCCCTTACCTGATTGGTTCGGTTGGAGGTGGTTTAGTTGTTTGGCTGCCCCTTTTTTTCTTATAAATTTGAGGTGCTTTGAAGCATAAGAGATTATCGATTATTGAGCTAAGTTCTCTAAAAAAACTAGAGGGTTTCTTCTTTGGAAGGCTTGCGAGCTTGTCCGATTCTCTCTTCCTCTCTACAATTTCTTCTTGGGCTTCTTATCTCCTTCTTCTATCCCCAAGTTTCACTCCACTTGTATCTTTCTTCTTGAGCTATTGGAGGTGTTGGTTGTCTGATTTGATAGCATTTGCCTGAGGATTTTTGGTGGACGTTGGACCTTGTAGCTGTGGTGGACCCTTGGTTTGCATGCCCTTAAGCACATCTTTTATATTGCCTACTATTTCGTTGCATGTGAAGAAACCGCTTACTAGTTGTTCTGAGGATAGTGTTTTTTATTTTTTTATTTTGTTTCGTTTATTTGGCTTTCGTTTGTTTTGAAGTTTGTTTGGATGTTCATATTCTAAGTGTTGAATCGAGTCATGTTCTACTAGCCCTGGTGTTCTCCTCTCTTGGCTCTTCCTATCTAGTTGTCCGCATCAAGGCATCACCACCATCTTATAGAATTTTCCCTTAAGTTTGAGGGGTACTTTTCCATCACACAACAAGCCCGATGCATTCCTCCACTTCAACCATCCAACTTGAATTCTGCTGATAATATCCCCATCTATGTCACCATCACTCTGAACAATAGATCCAAGTATCTAAAATATGTACTCTTATTAATGACTTGATCGCTCAAAGTCACAATCCCCTCACTAGGTCTATTACTACTAAAATTATACTCCAAATATTCCGTTTTAGATCTACTCAAGCGACTAAGGTTGACCTCCATAATTCAAGTTTACCTTCAATTCCCTCTCTAGTCTTATCAACAAGAAGAAAAAAAAAGGTAGAAAACAAATGAACCGAATTTACCCAAGTTCAATGGCGAAAAATATATATGTATAATTGCAATAATCCATCAGACATTTCAACAAAATTCAAATAGAGTTTTATTCTGGAGCCCCATCCTCCAATTTCAATCATCACCATGCTCAGGACAAGTAATACCGACTCTATATTAAAAACGATTTGTATTCCTACTCAACGCTTACACGTTCACACGACCAAGATAAGATCAAAAGGATGCATAGGAAAAGAGAAAGCGGAAAATAATAAGGTAGGGTTTAGCAGAGAGACGGGGGAGGGGTTAGGGTTTACCGGCGATGATTAAGCGATCGCAGGAGCTCTTAATGGTCTGGAACTGAGCCAAGTAGTTGGCCATGGCGGATCGGGGAAGTCATATGTGTGATGAATCGCCGGCAGCCGCGGCCATGGCAGGGCAGATCGGAACAGAGATTTTAGACTTGGAAGGCGAGAGGAGAAATTTCATAGGACCTTCCGCTCAAAAAAAGCTGGGCGCTGAGTTTGATCCACCTAACAGACTAATGCAAAAGCGAATCAGATCTGCGAGAGCTCACGGAGATTAACTTAATCTGACTTCATATTACTTCAGCGTTCTAACTAACGAAAGAGGAACACACGAAAGGCCAACTAAAAATCTTGTAGAAAATACTGAGCAAGATACGGATAAATTATTTTGTGTGTATATCAGATCATGGAGCTGAATTAGAACATATCACTTAATTATTGTATATCTGCTACATATCAGGTGATATGGTGCGCTCTTATTTATCTCCAGACGGCATCCGTATCCGTACAGAATAATTTCATCAAGATATGGCATGAGTATGAAAGCTTAGGGGTTATTTAATTTTCTGAGAAATTTTTCTGTGCGGAAGTCAAACACAGTTCACCATCCAGAGACCAACCAGAATGCATCATGTTAGTAGTATCGAGCCGCGGTACCGAGCGGGATGACGTAATGCATTCTGGTTGATATCTAGACGGCGTTCGGCATCAACACATAATAATTTACCCAAATTTCTACCTTGAATTCTTCTTTAAATACTTTTAGGCTTCAGTATGAATGAGTAATTTATATGTAGATATCTCAAAATTAAGAAAAAGAAATATTTCTTGAAATTTATATAAGATATGGCCTCTCTAAATTTGGTCAATATTAGTGGCAAATGATCCAAATGTATTTTCTAAGGGTAAGTAATAATTAGTTAAAATCGAACTGAACCAAACATTTTTGAAAATACAAATTGATTTTTGAATTTTTTTTTAGTTTTCATTATTGGTTATCAGGTCAATTTTAAGCTTAATAAGATTGAAGAACCATATCGATGAAACGAGACATTGGAACCAAGATGGTCAAGTGTAAAGCTTTATACTTTGAAGTTGGAAAATCAGATGCAAAATTATGCTTCCAAAATCATCTCCTTTTTCGTGTATCTTTAAGCACCAAACCAAAGAATCCCAAAAGTCCATTGAGATGAGCAAGAATATAGGAAATTGAAATTTGTTGCAACAAAATCAACCAATCAAATGATTCGATGACCAAATATTAAAATGCATGTTTCCAAATCCTAGGCCCTAATCTACATTTGGATAAGTCGCAAACATATCTTTTATTTTCACTGATCTTTAAGTTCTTACGGTTGTAGGGTATTTCACATATATGAAGTCGTAACCCGTCAATAGTTGAATCACTGGATTGAGAGAAAAGTACATATTTGTATGGTATTTCATAGTAGCCGATAAAGATCATTTCAAACATATTAAATTCAGAGAAATGAGAAGTAAAGGTTGAATATGTTCAATTACATTCTATAAGTTCTCTATTTCTCAATCAAAATTTCATTTAAGTTAAATCCATCTAATGATAATCAATGAACGTATATTATTTCATTTTGAAAATCAATTAAGCAAGATGGGATGAGGAGAATATGTATAGATTGCAGAGCCATCAATAGTATAACGGTAAAATATAATCATCCTATTACATGCTTAGATGATATGTTAGATGAATCACATGATTCTTGCATATTTTTAAAGATTGATATAAAGTGTGGCTATCATCATATTAGAATGAAAGAAGGGGATAATGAAAAACTATCTTTGCAATAAAATATGGTTTGCATGAATGGTTGTTATGCATTTCAGCTTGACTAATAATTTGAGTACTTTATGAGACTTTTGAATCGTGTCTGCGTGTATTTATAGGTAGATTTGTTATTGTATACTTAGATGACATACTCATTTATCATAAGAACCAAAATGGTTATATAGTACATTTGAAATTTATTTAGATATGCATAAAATAGAAAAACTATTGATGAATATGGAGGAAAATATCTTCCACACTAACAAGCTTGGATTTTTGGAATTTGCATTAGCAAAAGGTGTATAGGTAGATATATAAAGTACGTGCAATACGAGAAATTCTATGACTCACAAGTGTAGGTAAAGTTCGCAACTTCCATGGAATTGCTAATTTTTATTGATGAGTTGTGAATGATTTTAGTAGCCTAATAGTATCACTCATCAAAGTCATCAAAAAGCATAGTAAATTTAAATTGGGTGAAGATCAAGAAAGGTGTTAGCTAATAAAAAAATAGTTGATGCACCCATATTGGCTTTATTTAAAATTTCTTTAATTTTGAAATTGAATGTGATGCTTCATGTCCAATGATAGATGTCGTTCTTATGCAAGAAAGACCGATTGTATATTATAACAAGAAACTACGTAGGACAAACTAAAAATATCTTATTTATGATAAAAATATATATACATTAGTGCAAGCTTTAGAGATGTGGTTACATATGGCCAAGAGAGTTCATGATTCACATTGATCATGAATTCCTAAAGCATTTGAAAACATGATTCAAGTTGAACAAAAGGCATGCACAATGGGTGGAGATCATATAGACATTTTCATATGCCATCCAATAAAAATAATGGAAGAAAAATATAGTTGTAGAAGCACTTCATAAATTAAGGTATATCCTAAACTCTGCTCTTGATACTAAATTGCTTGATTTTGAACATATTAAAGAACTATATGAAGATGAGTGAGATTTTAATTTTTAGCATCAAGCTTCTAAGAAAATTGTTAGTGGGAAATATTTTAGTCATATTGATTTCTTATTTTGAGAGAATATGTTAGATACTCCCAACTGTTGTTTGAGAGATTTATTAGTGATGGAATCCACAGTGAGAGATTAATGGAGCCCTTGTAGAGTTGCTTCTATTATTGATATTAAGAGAGACGTTAAAAGAACTTATGGTTGATATGTCACTATTAGGAAAGCAAAATCTAAAATACAACCTTAGTTTATATACTCCTAGTGAACCTTAGACTAATTTTTTGATAGATTTGTGTTAGGTTTGTTTAGGTCTAATTAAGGGAGAGACAATATTTATGGTGGTGTGTAGATTTTCTGAAATGACACATTTTATTCCGTGCAAAAAATTAGAAGATGCTTTAAATGTTGTTAATTAGTTCTTATAAGATATTGTGGAACTTCATGGTATTTTTAGGGCAATTTTTCCTGATAAGGATGCTAAATTATTGATTTCCCTTTGAAAGCTCATATGAGAACAGTTAGAAACTAAGTTCTTTTTTTCTATTGCTCATCATCCACACACCAATGGTCAGAATAAGGTTGTGAATAGAACCTTATTTACTTTGCTATGGGCTATCATTAAGAAAAAAAAAATCAAAATTTGAGAGGAATGTCTATCACATGCTTAGTTTTATTATATCATTTTATTCATTATGCAACCAATTATTCACCATTTGAAATGATTCACATATTTAACTATTTAACACTATTGGAAATATTTCCATTACCTAATTTTATGTGTACTAACATGGATGGAAAGAAAAGAGCTGAGTATGTTAAGTAGATACATTAGAATTTAAAACTCAACATAGATACGAGAATTTAGTAATATGCAATGAAAGCAAATGAAGGGGGCATACACTACTCTTTGAATTATAAGATTGGGTTTGGTTGCACATGATGAAGGAATGATTTTGAGCAATGGCTTTCCAAACTACTACTTAGCATGCATGATCATTTTCAAGTTCTTGAATGAAAATGCTTACAAGCTGGATTTTTCATGTGAGTGGTGCAAGTGCTTCCATTAATTTTTCTAGTTTAAGTCATTCTTATGAAATTAAATATTGAGGAAAAATCCTTTTGAAGTGGATGGGAATGATGGGAGAAAGGATAGTATAGATTTTCTCTTTGTAATTTAGAAATAAATATTAAAGAGTTGGGAAAATAAGATTGCATGAGTAGTTAACATTATTTTATCTCGGCTCTTGGAGACGTATGAGAACTTTTCAGAAGATTTCTAAGGTGCTCTTCCTTTTCAATTAACCATCCATAGTTGATTTTGTTTGTTAGTTAATTAAACGATCACGAACGAGCTTTAATCGAACCGAACAACGAGTAGTTCGTCGAACGTTTGGTTCGCTTGCAGCCCTATCAAGTCTCTTGTTTTATTGTTAGTGATGGGTCGATATTTCTTCCCACAATCCTAACATAGATCAATCCTTCAGATTTGATCTCAAGCTATGAGTTTTGTCATCCTTAGTGGGATTCATATCACTATTGATAATGGGTGGTGTAACCCTTAAACACAATTGATTGAGATGCACTCGCCCGAAAGAAGAGTGTAGTTTAGGGCCTCTTTACCATCAAAAGGTTAGACTTGTGGTGTTATATAAATGGTAGTGAAATCCTTGTTTGAGAAGGAAATTGGGCATTAATATAGGCATTATAGATGCTATAAACAATTAAGAAAAATGTGTGTCTCGCGTTCTATAGCTATAGTTGTTTAAGTAGCACTTTATTTACTTATTTAATCAAATATTATAGATGCTATAAACAATTAAGAAAAATGTGTGTCTCACATTCTATAGCTATAGTTGTTTAAGTAGCGCTTTATTTGTTTATTTACCCATTTGATTATTGGTGTTATAATTTTTAAGAGGTGAATATTGCAATTCATTTTGTTGTTGTTGTTGTTGTTTTTTTTTTTTTTTTTTTTTTTTTTTTTTTTTTTTTTTTTTTTTGTAGTTTATATATTTCATTTTGCTCAAGTTTAAACTCTTACTCTTTGCATAATTCATTTAATTCACCATAATTTATTTTTGGATTTGAACGCTTATAATTTTCTTATAGAGAACTAATTGCATTAGCTAAGTACACTAGAGTTAACCAATTCACATTGACAAATTTATTTTTTATTCTCTTCCCTATTTATCCACATAGCCAATTACTTAATTTCACTTTGTGAGGTATCATTTGCAAGATTGATTTAATTGACTACTAAGTGTATGCTAACTAATATAATTTGAGAATACAATCTTTTAAAAAATATATATAAATTGAACACTCACTTGTATTAGTTTATACACATTAAATAGATGAGTCCTCCAACATTTATACAAAGATTATGTATTTGATTTAAGTCTTTAATTATATAGTTAGCATCCATCAGTGTATTATTATGAGTGTTTGAATTGGTTGAATTTCCAGATATTCGAAATGCTTGATTCACCGTTCCATATCAAAAGATGTTCAAAGTGCATATACCTTTCGAGACATCTTACATTAGTTAAGTCTATATTGTATTATGCCTCTCCTTTTACCTAACCAATA